TGCCCGCGAGGAGCACCTGTTGCCGCTGATGGTGGCCGCCGGTGCGGCCGAAGCCGACGAGGCGCGCTGCACGTACCACGAGACCGGGTACATGGGCGCCATCACGGCGTCGAGCTTTCGCTTCGGTTGATCAGGCCCGGCCGGCCCGGCGCTGGCGGCGAACGACCACGCCTGCGGCCAGGGCTGCCAGCACCAGCGCCACGCTCTGAGGCTCCGGCACCGTGTTGCCGTCGGTCGGCACCAGCTCGACCACAAACTTCGTGAAACCGAGGATGCGCGACTGCGCCGAGCACGAGGCGTTGAAGCAGTTCACATAGCCCAGTCCCAGGTAGGTGCCTTCCAGCCAATCCAGGCGCAAGGCCGCCCGCGTGGCCGCAGCGATGGCCATGACCGGCGCAAACGAGAGCCCATTGGCCGCAATCAGGTGGTTCGCGACAAACAGGCCGCCGATGGCGTTGTTGGTGTTGAAGGTCGAGATGCCGAAGGCGTCGAAGCTGCCCGCCAGCTGCTGCAGCACGTCGACCGCCTCGATCGGGCTGAAGCTGCCGGCCGGTGGCACCGCAGGCGACCGCATGAAATCGCTGGAGACGAACTGGACGATCACCCCGGCCGTGCTGGCACAGGTGATGTCGACGCCGCAGTCGTAGAAGGTGCTGCGGACGAGGCCCGCGGACGCGGTCCCGGCGCCCGCAAGCCCGGCGACGGCAGTGAGAACCAGCAACAAGGAGCGGAGCGCTTTCATGGAGACCTTCCTGGATGGGGGGTGGATGCCTGCATGCGTGACCGGCGCTGTGGCACCGGTTCCCGCAGCCCCCTTCATTCGGGGGTTAGGCCAGCGGCCCGGGCGGCCCCGACGCATCAAGGACACTCGAGCTTTTGGCCATCAGGCTGCTCCTGTCCGAAATGCTGCGCGTACTGGGCCTGGAAGCCGATGTGGCCAACGACGGGCAGCACGCCGTCCAGAGCTGTCTGCGCGATCCACCCGCCCTGGTGCTGATGGACCTGGACATGCCGGTCCTCTCGGGTATCGACGCCACCCGCCAATTGCGCGAGCTGCAACGCCTGGGCCAACTGCCCAGGCTGCCCATCGTGATGGTCACGGCTCGCACCGGGCCCGATGACCGTGCCAGGGCGGCTTCCGCAGGCGTGGACGCTTACCTGGAAAAACCCGTGATGCTGGACACGCTGCAAGCCGTCATCCACCGTGTCATGCCGTCCGCCGGTGCGGCATAGCCTTGTTGGAGGAGACGCCCGGCATGGCCCACCACCCGCCCCCGCCCACACCCGCATTGCCAGCCAGCGAGCCGGCGCGCCATGACGTCGACCAGTGGGCTGTGCAGTGGCTGTCGCAGTCGGTGGACCACGCCATGGTGCTGCTGTCGCCGCAAGGAGACATCCTGGCTTGGCGAGGAGCAGCCCACAAGCTCTTCGGCTATGCCGAGCACGAGGTGCTGGGCCAACCGATCGCCCTCATCTTCACCGACACGGACCGCCG